AGAGGCAGAGTTTTCTCTTTCGGCATTGATGGAAATTCCATCTCAATACAAAGCATCGCTAGAGTTCAACATATTGGGGTAATAATTAGTATTGTCTTAGTAGGTTTACCAGGGAGATAACATTCGAATGCAACTTATTTTTTTGTTATTTGTTTAACAGTAATACAATGGGAAGCTATAGATAGGGTTCATCTTCCCCTCCTCTTTGCAGACACCTGTTTTTGTCCAGTTCTACAAAAAACATTATATTGTTATTATATATTATTATTATTATTATTTATTTTTGTTACATATTTTTTTGCAGGCTAAATGTGGCCCAACTACAACATCAATCACTAAACCCACTCAACACTCAGCAATCCCGTATCTAGGATCCAACCCAGTTCCAGATCCAACTGAGGATTCAGTAACCCAACTGGAACCCGACCCAAACAGCTGGAACCCAAACCCATGTCCAAGACACAAACCTAACTGACCCGTTTGGCAAACCCTAAACACATTAGGGGTTTTAACCCAAATGTATCAAGCAGTCATCGTCGCCAATTGACCCTTCAGCTTCCCCCAACCGTACGTGGATCTCATTGTTCTCTCCCTGCGCGCGTGAGCCAGCCACTGAGCCACAAGCCTTCGCCGAACGTTTCTCGCTCGGTATTGTCATCCACAATGACCACCAATCAGTCAGATATCGACATCCAGCAGTGAAAAAATAGAGAAAAAATCATAAAGATATCCAAAGCAAATCCAAAAAAAAGTACTAATCAATCTCCTCGGGCAGAAAAATGGATCAATCACATACATCAAGTTAAAAAGAGAGAGGAGAATACAGGGAAACCATTTGGTGGGGGAAGAAAGAGAAAGAAAAAAACCAGAGAGATTCAGTGAGAGGAAAAAGAAATTAAACAAGAAAAAAAGGGAGCCGAAAGTAGTGGAAAAAAAGGAAAAATAAAAATCGAGAAAGATGAAAAAAAGAGACATACCGAGGGTTTGAAGCTGGTCGGGAGCACCAAAGGTCGCCTGAGTCTGGCTGTTTCAAGAGGTAAACCTCTAGATCTAGGGTTCTTGAGAGTTTTTTATGCTAAAGGGATTCAGGTTTTGGTTTGAGGGCAAGGAGAGGGTTTGTTTGGGGTCGATTTTACTTCTCCGGCCGCTGTGGTATTTGTTCTCCTCGAGGGGAGGGTTGAGAGAGTCTGCGACTCTCTCTCTTTTTGTTTTTCTGAGAAAGATGAGAAATGAAAGGGGAATGAGAGATTGAAAGCCATTTTAGGGTTTAAATATTAGGATTAAAGCGACACAGTTTCGTTTCCCCTTTACCCGTTTTTTCATTTTTTGTGGGCTAATAACAACATTAGTCCTCTTAGCTTTGTAATCTAGTATGCGTGTTTTAATGTTTAGGGGATAATAGCTTATTTAGTCCCTGACTTTTTTGTAAGTCTCACCCGTGCTTATTTTAGTCATTGCTTGACATATGGTTTAATTATTGTGTGGTCCTTTATGCTTCTGTTCATTTCATTTTGGTCCCTAATATGAGTTATAGGATATTTTCATTTACAATACATGTATTGTTTAATATTTTCATTTTTGACTCTGTTTTTTTGTATATTTATGGTTCATCCCTTTAAATTTATGTTTTTTATGTTAGTCCTTTAATTTTTTGTTTGTGCATTTTAGTCCAAATTTGTAACTTTGTTTTATCTATCGTTATAATTTCATGTATGTATGTATATAAATTACGTAATTGTTATAAGTATTATTTGTATGGAAATTTTTATTTTTCTTTGTTTTTTCATGTTCATATTTAGATAATTATTAACACCCTTTTTAATGAACCATCATTGTTTTCTAATATACAAAAATGAGAAAATTTCATTGTGAGGGAAATCTACGAAGACATCTCCCAACTAAAAAGAAGATGTCTTTTCGAGGATTTTTCGCATAAATTGTTTTTATATTCGATAATTTTATTTGTTCCACGTTTATTTATTTAGAGTAATTTTCACTACTTTTCATTTTTATTTTGTTTTGTTTTGTTTTATTTTATCTTTGCGAAAAATTGTGAAATAATGTCTTCTGTGAGGAGAATCTATGGGAAAGTCTCCTAAATACAAAGGAAGTTCATTCCCGAAGATTGTTCACATAAAAGGCCATTCGTTATCCGAAAATAGAGACTTTTTGAATAAAATCAAATGAATAAAAGGATTTCAATTTAAATATATTTTCGAGTTTGTAATTCCCAATATTTAAACAACATATAATCGTTTAGGTACCAAAATTTGGGCGTTGTGGGGGTGCTCACCCTTCCCCACACGTAATCGACTCCCGGACTCTTAAAAATGAATTTTTAGTAAAACGCAGACCATTTTTTTATCGTTCAAGGTTACCAATCTGCCTAACTTAAAGGTTGGTGGCGACTCTAAAATCAAACTATTTTCCAAATCACATTTCACCACTTTCCCCGAACAAATTTTTTTAAGTCAAACAGATTCCTCGGGGAGACGTTATAACGGCTTAGTGACTCTGCTGGAGACTTCGAGAGTCAGGCCATAAACGATTATACGTTGTTTTTATTTTTGGAAATTACAAACTTAAATTGTATTTAACTTACGATCATTTCCTTTATTTTTAGTTTCAACATATCATGTATTATTTTATTTTGAACTAATTGACTTTTGATTTTATTGGTCTTCAGAATTGAGCAGGTTTTGAGCTTGTAAGTTTCCTGTCTTCTGTTGTGTTTTTAAAGGTTTGTGGGTTTCTCCTCATACACAACATATACATTTACATAACATAAGCTCATTTACGAGCTTTGTCCCTTTTAAGTTGAGGTGTCAGCTTAGCCTACGTGAGATAAGTTGTTTCTCCGTATGAGTTTTAGCAAGTAACTTTTAGGGTTCATATACCTTATTTCTATATGAGATAAATTGTTTCTCCGCATGGACATAAGGGAATATATCCTCTCAAATTGAACTCGATCCGCACGAGCCTGTAATGGGTCAGGATTGAGGGTTTGACAACCTAAAGAGGCACCAACAAGAATAATTTGAGTACCCTTTTCCTCATAGTGCCGAAACCATGCATATAGTGAGCCCTAGTAACCAACCCCAATAAAATTCATACTGAACCTCTGTCTGTTAGTAGGTACCCAAAATCAGTGTACACAAAGGATAAACGACACTAAACCTCTTTTCTTTACCTTTCCCAATAAAGCATGTAAACTAAAAAAGCATGTGGGTAGGTGTTACAATTACTATAACACCCCCAAACATCGGGTTAGTGACTAAAGTGTAAGGATTTAAAAGTTAGTGGTTTAATTAGAATAATAAGAAAATTCAAGGACTTATTGTGGAAATTTTTTATTAGGACTTGATATTAAATTTGGATTAGTGGAAGGGAAGTATGGTATTTTCACCTGAAAGATTTTTATCTTCTCTCTTTTAAGGGATATAACACGTGGAATAAGAGAAACAAAAAGAAGAGAAAGTCTGGAGTTGGTTCTTATCTTCTTCATAGTGCCGTGAACTCCACTTCCAAAGGTAAGTTTTTGTAAATTGTTGGTTCCTTCAATTTTTGGGTTGGTGTTGATAGCTTGGGTGTTATAAAAGCTTAGGGAAAGCTTATAATGGATTAAAACAACAAGATGAGTGAATTAGAAATGGATTTGTAAAATGGGTTTTGAAATGAATTTTTGATATGGTGTAGTTTTTGGAGTTCTATGGCTAAATTTGACTTGTCAATGAGTTATTGAAGGAGATAGAAAGTTTAGAGTGGATTAAGAGTATGATTGAAAACATGGTATAATTTTTAGATGTAAGTGTTCTAGTGAGATTTTGTATGTTAGGGAGTAGTAAATGGAGAAAAGTTGGTTTGAATGAAGGAAGTTTATTTTAAAGGCATAAAAGGATATCAAAGTACGAGATTTAGGTAAGTTTTGGTTACAATTCGAAATGAAAATAGCAATTATGGGCATGGAATATCGATATTGGAAGAACAGTACCGATACTTCAAGGCAAAATCATATTGAATTCAAAGAGTAGTATCAGTACTAGTTGAGTAAGGTATCGATACCGACTGGAGAGTATCGATACCAAGGGTATGGTATCGATACCATTTTCAAGATAAATTTCAAGAATGTCAAAATGGTATCGATACCAAATGGGGTATCGATACCATAGAAGGAAAGTATTGGTACTATAGTGGTAGTACCGATACTCATATTTAGATAATTATTAACACCCTTTTTTATGTACCATCATTGTTTTCTAATATACAAAAATGAGAAAGTTTCATTGTGAAAGAAATCTACGAAGACATCTCCCAACTAATGGGAATATGTATTTTCGAGGATTTTTCGCATAAATGTTGTTTTATATTTGATAATTTTATTTGTTCCACATTTATTTATTTCGAGTATTTTTCACTGCTTTTCATTTTCATTTTGTTTTGTTTTGTTTTATTTTATCTTTGCGAAAAAATGCGAGATAATATCTTTTGTGAGGGAAATCTATAGGAAAGTCTCCTAACTGCAAAGGAAGTGCATTCCTGGAGATTGCTCACATAAAAAGTCATTCGTTATCCGAAAATAGAAACTTTTTGAATAAAATCAAATGAATAAATGGATTGCAATTTAAATATATTTTTGAGTTTGTAATTCCCAATATTTAAACAACATATAATTGTTTAGGTACCAAAATTTGGGCACTGTGGGGGTGTTCATCCTTCCCCACACATAATCGACTCTCGGACTCTTAAAAATGAATTTTGGGTAAAACAAATATCATTTTTTGTCGTTCAAGGTTTTCAACCTACCTAACTTAAAGGTTGATGGCGACTCTAAAATCAAACCGTTTTCCAAATCATATTTCATCGCTTTACCCGAACAATTTTTTTAAAGTCTAACGGATTCCTCGGGGAGACGTTATGACACTCTTTATTGTGAGGGTTCTTTTAGCCACTCGAAACCTTCACGATCGAGCACTTATCGTCTAAGTGCACCTTCTACCGTTAGACATGAAGAACCAGTCCGAACAGCTCCTGCCGCAAGTTCCGCTCCTGCCGCAAGTTCCGCTCCAGATAATCATGTAATCTTATCTTAACTACTTAAAAGTTACAAGTCTCGTAAACCAATCTTTAAACAAGTACGCATTTGCATGTCTTTTCAACAGGTTTGCCTTATTTGTCTTTGCAATGCAAAAGATATGGCCTTTGGTTGTGGACACATCAGGTAATGTAACAAAGGGTCTTATTATATTCCGACTTTCTTTGTTGTTAGAGGGACGGATGCCTGAATTTCACTTACTTGCAGACCTGTTGCGAGTGCGGAAAAGACCTTCAGTTGTGTCCGATCTGTCGAAGAACCATTGACACCAGAATAAAACTCTATTAATTAAGAAAAATATGTTTTTGCCTATTGCGAGTGTGGATAAGATTTTTATTTTTAAATGGATGTAGAGTTCTTAGATCATATTTGTATATACAAAAATATGCCGGTTGGACTAATATAGTTAGAAGTGGCATTCTACCATTGCTTTCTTTAACCTTGCATAAATAGTATGAATATTATATAAATATTAAGATGTCAATTTTTATTCATATATATCAGTTTAAACACTATTATGATATGAGAAAATTGCAGATTTAAATATAAGATATTGCAAGAACTGTGCAGTATCTGGTAGGGTCATGCTTTGCGTGAACATCTCACGCCAAGATTGCTTCAGATAAGTTTACGGCATAACAGGACTCATCGGTCGGAATATCAGCAAAACTAACAATTATGCCTCTAACAGCGGCCTCTTGGATTTACCCGAACCCTAAAACCAACCTATATAAGAAAGTTCATGTAATAACCCCATGAACCACAACAGTTGATCTCCGGTTTTCAGGCCATGGGAAGGAACACATGTTTGTTTTGCCTTTCGATTCATGCAATCTTTGCTTTACTGCATTTCGTTGTTAGTGATGCAGTCAAGAGTCCCGCGGCGAAATCCCCCAGTGAGCGACAAGGGAGATGGCTGCTGTTACGGAATAATACAGGGGTGGTCGGCATGCACATGGCGTTAACACATGAAATACTGTTATTATCTTCGATCAAACCGCCGCAGGCCCTTCTCAGTACCGGCTTCATCAACGGTACAACGGAAGTCAATGTAGCACTCGTTCTCGTAATGATCTGAAAGATGGAACTTGTTATGCTCATTCGGTTGAATACGAAATCCAGGGTAATAACATACGGCCGCTTAGACTTGTCTCCGATCCCTGGTGTTCTTCGGGTTCTTTCCTCGGCAATGGCACACTGATGCAGATTGGTGGCCATGGTCGTGGTTCTAAAAGGGTTAGATATTTCAGACCTTGCGGTAATCATCAATGCAACTGGCAACAATCGACGAGATCGTTGTCGGATAGTCGATGGTATGCTTCAAATCAATTGTTGCCTCAACATGATCGAGTTATTGTTGTTGGTGGAAGGAATGCTCACAGTTATGAATTTGTACCTAAACTGCATTGCCAGGACAAATCTTTTAATCTTCCATTTTTGCATGACACTAATGACGCCCATGGTGGTGGAAACAACCTCTACCCTTTCCTCCATCTTTCTTCCGACGGTAACCTCTTCATCTTCGCCAACCGCGATTCTATCCTTTTCAATTATCGGAGAAACCGTGTGATCAAATCGTTTCCGAGGATTCCAGGAGGTGGTTCAAGAAACTATCCAAGTTCAGGGTCATCGGTGATTCTCCCATTAGATCACAGTGATAAGTTCCAAAAAGTCGAAGTTATGGTATGCGGAGGCGCAGCGTCGGGAGCTTACGAAGCGGCGGAAGGAGGGAGATTCCTCCGGGCGTTGAACTCCTGTGGGAGAATGGTGATCACAGGGAACATTCATAAGTGGAGTATGGAAAACATGCCTGGACCTCGTACCATGCATGATATGTTGATCCTTCCTACTGGCCACATATTGATCATCAACGGCGCTAAACGTGGTTGCGCTGGTTGGCAGAATGCGGCGTCGCCATCGCTCGAGCCATATCTTTACAATCCGAAAAAGGCGGTCGGCGAAAGATTTACGGTCCTAAAAGCTACCAAGATTGCCAGAATGTATCATTCATCGGCCCTTCTTTTACCGAACGGAAGAGTTTTGGTTGCTGGCGGCAACCCTAATAACAAATACACTTTCAGCAAAGTTGCGTACCCGACGGAGCTAAGATTACAGGCGCTCGTCCCTGATTACATGGACCGTCAATTCAATCACCTTAGGCCTAGGAATCTGACGGTAGATTACGGGGGGAATTCTTCCGGTGTTGCTTATGGGAAACAGTTTACAGTCCACTTCATGCTTGGAAGAAGGCCGGGTAAAGATGTAGAATATAGCGTTTACGCGCCGCCGTTCACGACGCATTCCAATTCGATGAATCAAAGGTTGCTGAAACTGAGGTGCCAGCGGATGAGGAGGGATGCCGGTGGTTTGAGGAGTGCTGTCTTGGAGGCTCCTCCGTCGCCGAATGTTGCACCGCCTGGTTACTATTTGCTAACTGTTGTTAATGCAGGCATTCCGAGCTTATCTAAGTGGATTACATTGATCAATGCTTGATCTTTCTTGCACTTTGTCTTCGTTATTGAAAATAAATGTTTCTAATTTCCCGAATAAAGTGCAACGAGATATTCCGCCTTGATCTTGTAAATTTTCCCACCACAATCGTCGTCTTTTGTAAGCGTTTTTTTATTTTTTTTCTTTTTAAATTATACTTTTTGTATTTTAAGATTAAATTGAAAAGAAATTAAAAAATAAGAATTAAAATGAAAATAAAATACATGGACTAAAATAAAAATTTATGAAAACTTAGTTATATGATAAAACGAACCCATGATTTTAAAGGAGTCCGAGTTTAAGTCAATTAAAATTATTTTTTAGAATTAATATTTTAGTCCTTATACTTTATTTTTTTACAAATCAGTTCAAAAATCAGAAAAGTAAAAGGATTAAAATATGATTTCTTTAAAATTAGCTTTAAGTTCGAGTTTGAGAGAGGAACTGTTATTTTTTAGCATTTTTGAACTAACTTGTAAAGAAATAAAAGTGGAGGGATTAAAATAGGAATTCTCAGAAATTAACTTTAAGTGAATTAAATTTCCAAGCTCGTTCCTTAAACTTACTGTTTTATTCTATTACATAATCAACCTTTTATAAAACTTTATTTTGATCTATATTTTTAATTTTCTTTCAATTTGATGTAGTTATTCACCCCTTAAAAGTTTTATCTTGATTTCATCCCCCAATTATTATATTTATAAAACTTTTAACTTAAAATTATACAATTTAATAAATTATCCTATTCAATGTCATATCAAAAGCTTGGAATATAATATCATTCGGTATTATAAAAATTATGATATTAACCAATAATTTATTTCTATGCTATCTATAATATTTTTATTGCAAGGTTAAGATTTATTATATCATTATTAATCATTTTTACTAATTTTTAAATAATTTGAAGTGATCATAAGATAATGTGTATGTTTAGAATCTTTATTAACTATTTACAATACATATATATCATGTATATGTAGTTTGAAGTGATTATATATTTTCTTTTTAAATTCAACCTCATACATTTTCAAAGAAGTCTGATCAAAGAAAATAATATTCTTCTTACAGGTCTTAGATTTGATTGCAAGTATTGTCAATTAACTAAGAAAATTCTCAACATATGTTAACTTGTAATCATGTCATAATAATTTTAATAAAAATAAAACCTCATCCAACACATATTTATAATAAAAAATAAATCACCTCGTCCATCATTTAAAGAAAACATTTTCATGTGAACATGGGAAATCTTTTCATTTCCTTTTTACTAAAGGGGACATAATACCGAATCTCAAGAAAGATCTTACGAGATAATTTTCAGTATTGAAGATAAAATATAAAATAATAGGACAAAGTGGTGGAGCCGCACATGAAAATGGCTTTACCAACTCAGTCCTTGCTAGCCAGATATGGATGGTTTTTATATGATATCAGCCTATTTATAGAACCAACGCTTCATAGTATTCACACACCCACTAGCCCGTTCTTGATGGAGCCCCGCTTAGATTCCTTAAGTAAACATGTTGGGAATGAAAATGAAGATGAGTTTGAGAGATCCTTCAGAGAGATGTTATCCACTCCCCCAAGTAAAGAGCTGGCGTAATTCTGAAAATTTATTTCAATACCAAGGCTTTGGGCTCTTCCCGGCTTACTTAAAAGGAGTTGTGTCAGCTCAGCAACAATTCCAAGCTCGACCCACCGACATCATGCTTTGCAATCTCCCCAAAACAGGCTCACCTGGTTAAAATCTCTCATTTTCTCCATCATTACTAGAACATCATTCGATGATTCAACTGCCCTTTGCTTTCCAAGACGCCTCATGAGGTTGTGCCTTTCATGGAGCTTGATCATGCCCATTTCTTCTCTCATCGAGACCTTGGAATTCCTGTGTTGGCCACACATGCTCCTTACTCTTCCTTACCACATCAATCATCGACTCCGGTTGTAAAATTGTTTGCATTTGCAGGGACCTCAAGGATTCATTTGTTTCATTGTACCACTTCAATGTCGATATCCAAACGTCCCAAAACACTCGAGCTCAATCCTTTGATCTTGATGAAGCGTTTGAGTTGTTTTGTAAAAGTGAAAATATCTATGAACCTTACTGGGACCATGTTTTGGGAACTGGAAAGCAAGTTTGAAACATCAGGTAAAGTTTTAGAATAAATAATTATTTATTTATTGTATTTAATATTTATAATAAATAATTTTTAAAAAATTTATCGACTAGTAGAAAAAAGATTTAAACAATATTTTTTAAAAATTTAAAATATTTTCTAAAAATATAATTTATTTTACGAAAAAATATTTTCAAAAAATATTTTCAATAAAATAAACAGTCTTTCAGTTTTTAACTTATCGAAGCTATTGTTCATTTTTCTTCTCTTCATCTTCTTTGTTGGGAGTTTTTCTCGAAAAATCACCTATTCCTTATATATTTTCCTGTCATGCATCATTCAGATTATTTTTTCGATCTAACACCATTTACAGTAAGGCGCGCCCTTACAGCACGCTTTACGCTGATCTGGCGTCATGTGGGTAAGGCGCGCTCCCTGAAGCGCACTTTATGCTGAGTTGGGATACACGTGTGTAAAGCGCGGCTCCTGCGGTACGCCTTAGGTTTAATTATCCACCTACCCCGGTCGTTCCTACCCTACCTTTACCTATAAATACCCCTATTCTCAATCACTTTCATCACACCAAATCCTCTCAACTTCTCTCAAATACTCTTATATTCTCTTATAACTGTTTAAGGTAAATTTTATTATATTTAATATTTTATTTTTAATTTAT